TATCCTAAATTCCTATTTCTACACAAATCCAGTAAGTGAATGGTAGGTTACTTTGATTTAAAAGAACCAAATAATTCCATATTTTGTCAGTGTTCATAAAACTCAGCCATAATTATAATAGAATACTAGTCATCCTCTTATATAAATCATGATGTAATATGTATAGTATAATTTTTAAATAAAATAGTGTTACATATTTTAAATCACTTTTGATATTGGCCTACATTTCTACTCTCAAGTTATGATGAGTTGCATTTAAAAGATGTGTTTATGTTTTAAAAAAATAAACTATCAATCAACTCAAATGAACTCTTGTTCTCAATGATGACATAAATATCCTCTAATTAAATCAGCTAAGATAACTGTTTGCAAGGATCATTCTAAAATTAATTCCCAAATCAAGAATTTAACAAGTGGCTCTCCTTACAGCCCGGATTTTAGATTGCTTTGCTACCTAGAATTAATGTGATTCTTTTAGACATCTAGTAACTTGACAAATCATTACATAAAAATTTTGGAAGTTCAGTTTACTGACTTCTACCTCACACTCTTCTTGGAAAAGATTTTAAAGCCAATCACTAACTAAACAGAGGGCAAAGAAATCAGAAATCTGAAGCAGGCAATTAAGTAATTTATCCCAAAATAGAATAGTTAATGTCTATCAAAGAGTAAAGATTACCAAACACTGTTTTTCCATTTATGTTAATGGGATGTCTACACACAAACAGACACAAGATTTGTGTTCATGGCAAATGTATTAAGTAAGCAGGTTTCTGGTGAAGCGGGGTGAGATGTGGGCAGATTAACTGAGAAGGCTGCCCAACCAAGAAAAGATCATTGGGTAAAATCCCAAATGAAATCAAGCATTATGTATTTTGAAATTTGAAAAGATGTATCAGCAGAGTATTAGAACTGTTTAAACTTTGGGTCAGATTTTTAGCACTTTGAGATAAACTGTATCAAAGAGACAGGAAAAGAGGCCCGATTCTCAACTACTCAACTACCTGAGCCAGGGAAAAGGGCGCAGTAAATCTTGAGAACAGAGTTGATTATAATTGTTTCCCTAATCTGTGGAGACAAACATCACTCCTCTCTCTAACCTTCCATGATAACTTCCTAGAGTGAGCTTTGTTAGACTAACCCAAAATTCCAACATAATGGAAAAAAAATGCAGTCTTAAGTTTCTATCTCTTAGGAAACCACATCTGTGCAAAAAAAGTAATGGGGGAGCTAGATCAGAAAACTAACATGCTGGTGGAGAGTGGCCAATTTCTGAGAACATCAACTCCAAGTTTCAAGTGATTGAAAAACTGTAAATATTTCAAGTAAATGCAATAGTATCCAGCATGAGCACCAAGAAAATACATAGGATGAGTGATAATACCAGGCTACACACATGCCAGACGAGGAAAGCTTTCCATTTGCCTGTATTCCTTCAAAAAAATGCTGTCTGGCAGTCTGCAGGATTAAGTTCCAATTCTAGCCTTATCACTTTCAAGCTGAGTCATCCTTGGGCAAGTTAATCATTGAAGTGTCTCTGTAGCTCAGTCTTTTCATGTATAAAATGGTGATAATGACAGCATCTCCCAAATTGTTAGGAGTCAATAAGGCAATGTTTATTGTTTCAAAAGCAGGTGATGTTTTCAAGTAAGTGTGGGGACCCAGTAGTTCCTGTAAGAGACTGTTCAATAAGGTTGCAACAGGTAAATGAAAAAAGCGAACTGAGACCAGTCACCATTATTTACCCAGTATTATAATGAAAGCTCAAAGCCTAGGGGAGGGGGCACAGGGAGCCTAAAATAACATCCTCTGAACTGCTCAGACTTTTATTTAAGCAGGTGCTCTTTTCAGTGGGGGGCAGGGGGGGTACCTTTAGAAGTTTAAAGACATCCACTGAGGCAGGTTGGGGAAAGAGACAATCCAGAAAGGACTAGAATGTTTTTTTTCCACTGACCTATGATCAGGAAACCAATTCTAGCAGGACCTGCGGATCCAGGACTCAGTATGTCCCAGCAGATACAAAAAAAGCACATGGGAAGGTTTCTGGCTACATATCTGGAAACATTCCGCTACTGGAAGAAAGTAAGTATTAGAATGGATGGCTGAGAGGGCTCCAGAGTCTACTCCTTTGGAGGTCTTTCAAACAAGGATAGATAGTCTAGCTGATCTGCCTGCAGCTGTCTAAAATCAGGGCTGAGTGAAGATGAATGGTGTAAACTGCCCCTGTAAGGCCACCTCCTTTCGAAGCACTCTCTGAGTATAACTTTATATATTACCCATCACAGTCCCTCCTCTGTTGAAGAAGTCCCTTCCACCTTAGCGCAGAAATGGGCAACACTATATCACAACAGCAAGTTCTAAGTAAAACTTAAATAATGTCAGGATGGACCTTATTACTTCCCAGTTATTCTTATTACTTCCCAGACAAACTACCTGCAACTATCTTTCCATTAGCAACAGCTTTCAGGAATCTGAAATCTGAACAGCATTTCCTTTAAATCCAGGCTCCCTTGTAGGCTAATGGCACATTCTGTTTCTCAAGCAAACCATTAAAAGTCCAAATAAGGCAAAGGATGAAAAGGAGTTTAAAGGATAACTCAGAATATATTAGATAATCAAATGTAAATAGTAGCAGGAACTAGGGAAGGAGCAGTGTTCGTTCAATAACAGGGCATATTTCCTAAGTGATTATTCCAGAGGCAGCAGGTAGTACTGAATAAAGTTTACTTTGGGGGAAAAAAAACACAAATCCTTAATACACAGTTGTTTCTTTTATTTTCCTATCAAACATGCCTCTGACCCTACAGTGACCTGCATCTTGATTATTTATTTCCACCAGCAACCGAGGACACCAGGGTGAACGAAAACGCATCAGTGTCTGTTGTCCTAGTGAGTTTCACAAAAGTGAACACATTTTAGAAATCTACAGCCCATTAGCAAGTGCCTTACCCGTCAGGTGGTGGACCAAGAGGAACCCCTTAAATTAAATACGAAGAACTATTTACCCACTGCCACCGTTCTCAGGAAAGCAAACAGTGGCTACAGAAACTATGTACCCTGAAAATCTGCACTTCGATATTAAGGAGATTTACATCATGCTAAGGATGAACCGTAGTCTCTGGAAGCCCCATTATCCACTAAAGGACAGTAAAACAATTTACAAACACTTCAGTTTGTTTTTCTTTGAGATATTTTATCTGAAATCGTGCTGGGAAAAATATCTGTCTGAAAGATACTGTTTGAAAAAGTGAAGATTAGAGGGGAAAAAAGTTCCTAGCAGGACTCCATACTACGAACCTTTAAGCAATTGAATTTCCTGAGATTTGGAGAAAGCAAAAAAAAGCAAAGTTGATCCTTATCAATTAATTAAAAAGAATAAAATAACAAGGGACAAGGGGAATGCAGAGTTAAGAAACTTAAGGAGCTGTGGGGCCCATCGCTCTCTATTCATTGATTAACAAATTAAGGAGTTGTGCAAAAGGGAGACGCAGTGACAGGGACAGAAAAGTGGTCTTATAAATTCACCACAGGTTCCGCCTCCGACTCACCAGAGGCAGCCTGAGTCTGGCTCTGAATTGAAAAAGGCTCCCTGTATACAGCAGAATGCTCCGCGCCGTGAGTGGGATGTATGGGCTAATTTTTTTTCGGTGCCCAAATTTATATGAGCAAACATGCTCATTCCCCTGCAAGTTTGGGAAAAAAAAAAAAAATCCCTCCCTTGTAGAGTTTGCAGATGCACCCTAAATAAAATAGCAATTCCATTCTCTATCCAAACTGTGATGTTTGAACCTATCTGCAAACTGCTTTACAGCCACCGGCCAGTTCTTGAGCAAAACGCAGAGAAGCTGGTGGAAATGCAGCGTTTGCACGAGAGCTGAGGTCACTAAAGACTCCGGCCGCCGGGTTTGAGCAGCCCGCGCCCTCGCAGCATCTCCGGGGCTCTCCCAGCCTCCAGTTCCGTCTCCCGCCGCCCCAGGATTATCTCCCCGACACGTTTCATTCACAGAGCCCCGGAGCAGCTCGGCTTCGGTTGGAGCAAAGAGCCGGAAAACACGCGCCCGGGCTGCTGCGCAAGTTGTGGGAGACCCAGCGCCGCTAACGCAGGCGCCGCGGAAGGGGGTGGGGGGGGCCCCCTCTGGCTCTCGGCGGAGGACGCCGAGCGGCCCGGCCCGCGGGGGACAGCGGCTCCGCGCACCCCCGGAGCCAGACGCCGCTGCGCCCCCCGTTCAACTTGGCTCCGCTGCCGAGCGCGCGCGGGCGAGGCCGCGCTCTGCACGGGGCGCCGCGCCGGGCGCCTGGGGGTGTCCTCCGAGCCCGAGTGACCAACCGCGGTCGGGGAAGCGCAGAGGAACCGTAACGCGAAAGCCCGCCCCGAAACGCACCCGGGCAGCCCACGAACTCCCCGACCGGCCCCGAACCGCCCGCCTCTGGAGGCCGCGCGCGCGGTGGGGGTCCCCCGGCCCCGCCCGCCCCGGCCCGGGCGCCGCGCGCTCTGCCTCTCCGGGGGCGCGGGGTGCGAGGCGAGGGGCGCCCTCCGCGTCCCCCAGCGCCCCCGCCGGCGCGAGGGCGGGAGCGGAGCAGGCGCCACTCAGACTGTGGCGCTGGGCAAACTGCGGCCGCAGTTCTTCCAAGTTTGCCCGCGCGAGGTGGGCGCCCCGCTCGGCAGCCGGTCCTCGCCCGCGGCCGCCCCCCGACCGTCCCGGGCTCCCCGGCGGGGGCCGGAGCCCACAGCCCGGGGGCGCGAGCGCCGCGGGCGGCAGGGGCGCCGCGAGGAGGGCGCTCCCGCGTGTGCACACAATGAGGCGGCCGCACGCGCACCTTCCCCGCGGGGACGCCGCGAGCATCCGCCGCCGGCTCGCGGGCGCGGCGGCCGGGGGAGCCCCGGCGGAAAGTGAACACCCACAACTCAGCAACAGGGGGGCGGAGGCGGGCGCCCGGCGGGCCGGGGCCGGGGAGCCGCCGGGGGCTGCAGGCGGCCCGGGCCGCGCTCCCGCGCTTACCTGCGATCTCCTGGTAGGGAATGTCCGCCAGGCTGAAGCCCTTGGCACCGTACGCCTGGCGGACCTCGCCGCAGCTCCGCGCCTTCACCTCCGCGCGGGCCGGGAGGGACAGCAGCAGCCCGGAGAGGGCGAGAATCACAGCCCCGGTCGCAGCAGGCATGGTGCAGCATGCAAATCCAGCTCCGCGCAGCCCCGGGCCCGTGCGCTCTTCACCTGGCCCCTCGAGCCGAAAGCCCGCCAGAGCCCGCGGCGCGCTCCTCGCCGCTGCCCAGCGTCACCCCCTTCCGCCAGCCGAGGGGACGAGCAGCGCAGCCCTCTGGACTGCGCTCAGCAAACTTTTATAAGCCAGATGGAGGATGGCAAGCCAACCAGGGCTGGCTGGGAAAGCAGCCGCCTTGCGCCTCTAGCCCCCCAGATCGAAAACGGTGCAGGCAAAAAAAAAAGACAGAGAAGGCTAAGAAATGTTTGTAAAAAACACCATGGGGGTGCAGCGCTGCGATCCGAGCTCCGAGCCGCAGGATCCTGGGGCGCGGCGAGCCGGCCGGGGAGGGTGCCGCGGCGCTGGGGACGCGCGCCGGCTCGCCCCGGGGGAGAGGGACCGGCTGGGGCGCGCGGGGGTGCGCGCGTGTGTGGCGGGGCGAGCGCGGGGCGCTGGGGGATGTGGGTGTGCGTGGAGGTATGTGTTGGGGATATACGAGATCCAGGGGAAACCTCAGCTTCGCACAGGCTGAGGGAGCCCGTGAGAGTCCTGCTGGAATAGGAAGAGCGAAATCCTGGAGACAGACGCTGCAGGCTGGAGGGAAGGCGAAAGGAGGGGACAGAGGGAAACGTGCTACTCTTCGCACAGCCGAAATTCTGAGGCGGAGTCCAAGGCAAAACCTGGCCTGGATCTCTTTCTGCTCGGTGAAAGGGGGAAAGGAAAAAAAAAAAGAAAAAGAAAATGTTCCTACGTTTTATTGCTCTCACAGACTCACTCCATCCTCATCGGAAATGCTGCCTTTAAGGGCACACGTAAACAATCTAGAAAGACGGTGTTTTACGTTATTAAGTTATTTTTTAAGCTGTATTTTTGGGGACGTGAAGGACAGCCTCAATTCCAATTGTTGCTCGAAATACGAGCAACAATTTATGACCTGCTGAACACAAAGCCAGCGTGGACAGAAACATGTTGGGGAACCCCTGACTAGCAGAGCTCAGTCACCGTAGTAATTAATGTCTAATTTCTGTTTAACTTTGTTTAAGCAGATATTTATGCGCGCGTTAGAGACCAGGGGGTTTTTATTTTTCAATTTTAATTTTGGATTCAAAAATGTTCTTCCTTTTAGTGAAAATATCACATAAACTTGGATCAGACATCGTTATGCTTAGAAATAGCGTAGAACAGGATAAGAATCAGAACAGGGAAGCAATGGGAAAGCAAAAGCAGTTGTCAGGGATGCATAAAGAAAGGCATTGGGAAGGGAGGTGATAGTCTGTCTTCCTTCTTCCCACATACTATCACATATTAAATTTAACATTTTCTTTCAAGTTAGAGGAATTCTCAAATGTGGAATCCATTTGCCTTCTTCTTGCTGTTTTACACTCAAGTTCTGTAAAAGTGGATGAAAGAGAAAATTCAAGGTCTGTTCATTTCCATGAACTCTCTTGAGTTAATGAACACACTAAACTCTGCTAGGCAAAAGTATGTTTTGAAACCCAAGGTTCCCACACTAGTCGTTAGTAGGAGACTAAATTAAACACCCCCCCAAAAAAAAAATTCTTGTGTGGACATATGTATTTTAGGTCTGCATGTTATTTACAAGTAACTATCGGTTAATGTCCACTTCTACAGTACTCACCTGTAAAGCTACACATGAAAATGTTTTTCTGATGATGGATGTTAATATACAAAATAGCTCAAGAAATATAAGTCATTCTGGTTGTTTTCACCATCATTTTCTTCATCACATTAAAATCTTCCTCTAATTAATTCCTCCTCTCTTCATCAACCACAGAGTCTCAAGTTTAGAGTCCAGCTGCTTTGAAGCTATAGAAGTACTTTTTCAAATGTCTTATTTACAGAGTAACATTTTCTTCTTCACGGTTTCATAGCTAAACATTTCTTGTAGAAAACAGCAGTCACATTACCAATTTTTCCTCATAATTTTAGCACAGTTTTTGCCTTCATGGTATTGTGCTACCTGGCAAGTCTCAAATCACTGAATTTATTTTTTCCTCAAAGTCTGAAATCGAGATGAGAACAAACTGTACTCTAGTGCCTTTGTGGACAAAGGATAAGTTTGGTAGGGTTTGGATTTGCTGTACCCAAGGCATCGTTTCTATGATATTAACCAAGATCTCCTTGAAGTATCGGTTACTATCATAGTCAAGTGATAGATACAATGCACTACAGAGAAAGGGAAGTAAATGTAAACAAAGTTTATCCTGTCATCTTACACAGGGACTTATTGTCATTTACCCTGGCCCTAGTCATATATAACAGATAATGCAATAAAGAGGACATTTGTGGCAGGACAATGGGCAAAAACTTAATATATGCAATTTAAATTCTTTGAAAATCATTAAATATTTAATAAGCATTCAGCACAACTATACAGCACTCTAGGTGAATGTACACAGCTCCTACATTTATCAAATGAGCTTAGAATTTGTGGTAAGGCTAGTAGATAGAAGGAATTATGACTTAATCAAGTATAAATCGATTTGTTTAATCCTCTTGGGTGGGTGAAACAATTTAGGGTCAGTTTGTGAACTCCAGTCACACTAAAGAATTAAGTAACTTGCTTTATTGGTGCTTTCAACCCCTACTTGGTCCACTTGGTGGATAATAGGGAACTGTCAGAAGTGGCATAAGAGACAGAGCCAAACACTCCAGCTTAGAGTAACTGATGGAGCAGAGCTGAGGTAGTGTAGTGAGCACTGAAGGCCATGGAACCTCACAGAAGATGTATGACTAGAAAGCTGAGTCCGTATGAAGGTGAAGTTGAACTTCGTTTTACATAGAAAGAGAGGGTGGCTGACGAACTTGAACTTGAGCTTCTCTTGTGTTGTGTCAGGGGGAAACGTTGGAATATTGAAGATCATCACACCAGAGCAAGCAAGTGTATAGAAGTAAAAGAAAGTAGGGGAAACACAGTAGTAAAGTTTTTGGGTGATCAGAGGAAAAATAGGGTAGTAAATGGAAAAAAGATATATATGTACATTTTGGGTTTTTTTTAAATATATATTTACATCATTGTTCATATGTGTACACTTTATAGAATAAATTACCATGACTTGGTTTTTACAAATATGGCTCATCTCAAGATAAGACTCTTACTGATATAGTACTTTCTACATCCCAACTGCTTTTCCTAACAACCTCTTCTGAACATAAGATGAATGGACCTCAGAGACTTTAAGTTTTAGAGACAAAAAAATCTTACTATTGAGGAGCAGCCAGTTGATAGGCAAGCCCAGCACCCTTGTCAATGGCCCACCCCATGGCCATGGCTCTCCTGTGCTCCCCTGTCTTGTGTTAGCAGGTCTCACGGATGAATCATACTGGGCACAAGCCTTTTTGATTAAATAGGAGTAAGCATCAGAACCATTTCTGACCAATGAGCTGTATGGAGAAAGTTTCTGAGAAATGTATTTTTCCTGCATAAAGGCGAGATCTATAGGAACAAAAAGGTCAATTTTTGCCTCGGTCTCCTGCAATCTCATGATTAGGAGGTAAGACATTGTTAACAGACAATGACAAAAGAATGGAAAGAACCTAAATTTAGGGGGGGAGGCTCCCTGGTGGTACAAGGGGTTAAGCACAGCACTGTGAAGCAATCTTCAGCCTCTGCAGCACGAGTTCGATCCGTGGTCAGCCAGGGAGTAACCCCCATGGTGCAGCAGACCTCTCCTGCTCCCCTCAGCAGTGTATTTCAGTCAGTCTGCCTGTTCTGTTCCCCACTCTGTCTCTGGTGAATCCTCTCACCCCCTGCACCTCTAGCCTGTACTCTGGTACTTGTATGCATAAATACATAAATCTTTAAAAATAATAATAATAATAATAAATTAAAAATAAATTTTTTGGGGGAAATGTCATTGACGTAATGTTGGTTTATAACATTAATTGGTTTCAGGGTACAGTATTATAATTCAACATCTACATATATTACATTGTAGAACCTATATTCTTGATGTCCTATTTGAATCACCAAACCAGACTTGGGAATGTCAACCTCTGGACTGCTTATTATATAAGCCATAAATATCATTTTAGTTTATGCTATTTTCAGTTATTCCAGTTATAAATGAAAGCAATATAAATGTATATGTGAAGTGATTATGAGAAGTGAAGGCAAGAGACAGGATTTGTTGCGAATATACGAAAAGAACAAAAATTATTTAGCATCTTGGAATCCAAACTAGAAGACTCATTCACAAAGCTAATCATAGCAGACATCAAGAACAAGAAAGATAGAGGAAATGGTACTTGAGTGATGAGATAGAAGCTTACTGGAACCTTAGAAACATTTGATAAAGTAATGGTATGGATGCCAGACCATATGAAATTGTAAGTGAAATGGATGGAGCCTATATGGAAAAGGCAGGAATAGCGATTATATTGTGGTAACTCTACAAGTAAGGAGCCAAGGGACCAGGGGATGCTTTCATGCAGAAACTTCTAGGATGGTGGGAAGACTAAGAGGCTAGACATAGAAAGGGATTGAAGTTCAATGCGATCTAATATGGTGGGTTGATTTTTAATATTTTGCTTATCTGCATTTTTTAAGTTTTCTACATTAAATGTGAGTTCTTTTTTAAAATTGGAAAAAGTTGTTAAATATGTCATCCTTTTAACATGTATACAAATGGTAGCATTTGTGTTATGTTCTACAAAGTAAAGGGGTCTTATCATTTATTGGCATATGTGAAAAAAATGGCTGTTAATATTTTTCTGATGATGAAAAAAACTGGCATGAAATTTTTTGTTGTTAAATTTTTAAACATTTGGATAAAAAATAACAAAATTTATTATTCTTTTCTCATTTATACCAATATGTAAATGAGAAACTGGATGAATTTTAGTTTTTTTCTCTTTGTGGTAGATCGTATATAGGACAAATACATTGAAATGAAATCTTATGAAAACAAGAGAATGGACTTCAGCTGTCTATTTCACATTTCAGCTTGGCACAAATCAACATCACTTAGTTAACCTGCCTCTTGAAAATCAGGCTCTGTAATGACAAAGCTCTCAGAAATTTAACAACAGTAGCTCTGTCAGGTGCCTGGATAAGGAGAAATTTGCTGAGTTTTAGAGGAAGAAAAGGTAAACTTAGATGAATAGTGTCCAGAAATAGTGAAAATAATGTTTCATTTTCTTATCAAAGTTTATACCCAACCAAATTCTAATAGTCTATTTAACATTTATTTTTTATGAATATAACTAGTACCAATATAGAGCAATAAAAACAGTATCTTCTAGTAGCTGAGAACAAGCTGGATGGCTAATGATCTCTTGGGGAGAGCCAAATGCTGAGGGACAAGATCCTTCTTGTCTTGCAATATTTTTTTTAAGACTAAAGCCTAAGCTATTTGTCTTCAGAAGAGGGAATTGTGTGATCTGCTTAAGGAGATTTTTGTCAAATAGTTATGTCAGGGGTTAGTCAAGAGATCTGAAAGAGCTCTACATTTTGTTTTCATATATGCCAGAAACTTAGATAATAAAATTATTTCGTATATTCTTATGTACCACTCTTTACTTGAAATATTACTACTAATCATCAAGAAGGTATGGATAAATATTAAGATATTACAATGACTTTAAAACTTCCA